ACAATATGCATAAGCTTTGAATATATAACAGTATTTTATAGATAACCACATAAAAAAGAATATAATTTTTTAAGAGTTGAGGTTGAAGCAACACTACTGCGCTTGGAAACAGTGTCACACATGGGGTAGTCTGGTTGCAATTGAACTTGGTGATTGAAGTTGCACTATTTGGGGAAGCACAAAAGGGTCCACCAGTGAAAATAAAATAAAACTGCACCAAAGGGTGCAACCATGAATCCAAAGTAAAATAAATATCACAACAGAAATGAAAATCACGTGCCTTCATGAAAATTATCTTTGAGTTCTTTATTAGTGGTAACACCATAGTTTCAAGTTTTGTATGTAAGATATGATATAATAAAGTTGCAGCTTGTAGCATGGATCAAATTATGCTACAACTATCCTTTTCTCTACCTGAATATGAGAAGGGCGTCCAAACATCTGTTTCCTTAAAGATTCAGTCAAGTAGTCACTGCACCCCAAATCTCGAAATGATTTTTTGCTAAAGAAACTATTGTCCTCATTTAAGGTCCTTTTCTTTCTGTAGAAATCATCTACTCTACCCCAACCCACCATGTGATCAACGGTGTCTTTTAAAGCAGAAAGATTTGGTGCGATAGATTTGGCATCAGACTTCTTAAAGTCCTTATTTCCAATGTGAAGCTGCACAGTTTCATCTCCAGCAGCTGCATTGGAGAAATCCTTTGACATCCTTCTCCTCAGGTTTTGCAGCAGAGCTTCTGAATCTGGTGGCTGTTCAGAACTAGAACTATCATTGAGAAGATCAAATCCTTCCTGCTCCACTAAATGGTCACCTTTCGGAATGACAGATACCCCAGCATTATGTGCATCGTGATTATGAAAATCACCATCTTTCCTTTTTGTATATCTTTTCCTCACAAGAGCTCTCATCTTATGGGATTTCAGTCTGCTAAAGTTTTGCCCAAGTGCCTTCTTAGATTCTAGATACCACAAAAAGATGAATGAGCAATGAAAGAAAGAATGCAGTTGAACTATTTGAGGGTGATGGTGATCTTGACTTTGATTTATTTATATTTTTGGGAGCTGGTGGATGTTGAATTGTCATACTAATATTCTTGCTTTGATAAACATGTTCTTTGGTTAAAATGTTTCTTCATTTCAAACTGGAAATTGACTCTTGAACTGAAACGATTGAACTTTTATTGCCTTTTATTCTTTAGGCCTTATTTTAAATATGAGTGTTATTTGGTTTGTCACAAACTCTAAACTAATGGTTACTAACAAAGAAGATTTTCATTTGTCATCCTTTGCGCCTCAGGCTCTAGGAAACCCTTTGCAACTTGGTTGTGCCTTGCTTCCTTAACAGCGACGCTATCTATTAGTAGTTGCTTCCATTATAGATGAAGGAAAAAATTAAAGATTGCAAGGAAGTACCATCTACTGGTAAATAAACTTGTAATTGGACATTGCAGTGGTAATACAAGTTCTGCAAATATATTCAATACTAATTTAAACATCAACTTGTGCCGGGGGTAAATCTAAAAAAGTTGTGCAAATTCACACTTTATTTGGTGACAACAGCCGAAGGTAAGACTGTTGCAGACTTGTGTTGAACTTCATTATAGTCTGTTGCTTAGAAGCTATCACAAGAATTAATTACTACAACTTGACTATGAAAAACAGGAAGACCGAATTCTACCTTTGAAGTTGCCGTCATCACGTCCGTTTGCTTGGTCGTTGGTGTTCCAGGCGGAGTGAATATCATTCGAAGGGATATCGGAGAATCCATCATCGTTCTCTACTCCTCCCCAAACGATGACTTTCTCTCCAGTATCTTTATCAATAAGCTCGTAAGCGCCGGCTGTGTCCAAAGGCCTGCGAGTATAAGAGCTTCGAACAACCACAATCGCCGATCTCCTCCCCCTGCAGCTAAAAAGCTTTGCGGCATTCATGATAGTAGCGCTGGGAACAAGTTGCAGCACCTTGGCTCTCCCCAGTTCGGAACTATGTAGTATAAATGGTGGCGGACCCATGGCGACCGCCATCACTGCAGCTTCGCTGAGCGACATCACTTGTCAGTTCAAAAGCTCAGCTCCAGTGTCCATAAGCTGGACGTTTGTTTGGCTATCCTGTTTTTTGCCAGATTTCTCCCCAAAGTCTAAACAAGCTCCCACTAGTACTTAGAGGAGAATGTTTGTAATTGTTTGTGCAAAAAAGTGATTTAAAGTAAAGGTAGATAATGTTTGAGAATAAAAGTAATTTTTGTTAAAAGGTAAAAGTTGTAGTGTTTGATAAAAAAGTGATTTGGGACATAATATTTTGATAAATTACAGATACACCCTTAATAATACATACTACGTAGTATTTTGTAAACTACATCAACAGATGCATCGGAAGACAACATATGCATCGGATTATCGGAAGACCAAATCGCCGGCAGGAAAGCCACCACCACCACTGGAGAACCATCACTGCCATCGGAAGACCCAATCGCCGGTAGCACCGTAGCAGTACCCGGCGCAATCGTCGCCGGTGAGAGCTCCACCAGTTTTCGTCCATTGAAGTCTCATATGCGCAGATTTGGTTATAGACTTCCAATAGTTGATTGGTTTGAAAATCAGATTTGAAAGAATCTCTTAGCTTCTCCTTCATGTTGCTGGTTTTAAATTTTGGCCGTCTGCTGGTAGTAGCTTGGCCAGAAGATGCTTGTTGCGTAGAAGGGGAGGGGGGCAATACGCAGGTTTGTGGGACAGAGGGGTAATCTTGGTTTAATCAATTTTTTTGGCATTAGAATAATCCTAAAAGTTGGACTTATTTACATAAATGCCTAGAAGCAGTTTGAAGTTGGTATATACCGGCTTTTAACTTTTAGCTTTAAAGTGCTTTTTTTAAGTAAAAGTTGGAAGTTGCAAACTCTTTTCAACTTATTTTAAGTTAAAAGCCAAGAAGCACTTTTTTAAGTAAATGCAAACACTCCCTTAAAATGACATTTAATCATCAAATATTAAAAACAATACATTTATAACATGACAGTTATTGTCATTAACCCGATTATATTATATACATACCCACCATCTAGCTCTGCCGCCCCTACCTTCATACCCACTGGCCACCACCTTCCCGCCCCTACGTACCTCCATATGCAATGCCACTAGTTAACCTGGAATCAACCGGCTAAATTAGAAATTAGATCATATTTATATAGTTCACAGACTTATATGGTTGCTTTTTTAGTTGAAGGGTCTAATTGACTTTTTTGATATATTTCGAAGGCCCATTTGACAATTTTCTCTAATCTAAATAATAACCATGACATTTTGCAATGAGAAACTTTAAACGGGATGTGTAATACTTGAGATTAACTTAAAAGGATTAAAAGTAGTACTCATACCAACAAGGTGCATCTTCTTTTAATGAAGCTCATCAACGAAGAACTACAAGTTAAGCATGTTTGCACGGGAGTAGTCTTAGGATGAGTGACCCCCTGAGAAGTTTCTCAGGGCGCGCACAAGTGAGGACAAAGTTGTGGTAAAGGTTTGTGTTGGTTTATGAGAAAGTACTAGAGGTTTGGATGACATTTAGGAGTAATTACCTCGGGCCCGAGGTGGGGGGTTACAAGTGATATCAGAGCAACACTGCGACATGATGTTGATCCGTTGGAGATCGGGCGGGGCACTTAACAATGAAGGATTCTGGGCTTAATTGAGATTAGTTTATGGGCGCAATGAGGATGTTAATTGTGTTCATAAGTGGGGGTGATTGTGATACTTGAGATTAATTTAACACGATTAATAGTACTACTCATACCAATGAAGTGCAACTTCTTTTAAAAAAGCTTATTAGTTAAGAACTTTAAGTTAAGCGTGCCTGCACGGAAGTAGTTTTGGGATGAGTGACCCCCCGTAGGAAGTTTCTGATGACACGTTTTATTTGACGGCCTAATTTATGTAATACTCATAATAAATAAAGTTGGAGTTGTATGATTGAATTGGCTGAAGTTATTGTACAGAATCATTTTAGCTATTTCTATATAATTTTTTCTTTATTTTTATTAATAAAATACAGAGTATATTTTAAATATAATTTCTTCCTAATTCGGTAAAATCGACCAATCCAGTCACTTCAACCAAAACTTCATTAGTTTCAACAGAATCAATTGATTCAATCAATTTCAGTGTTATCAAACGAGCTCTCAATTTCACAAAGATGTAATGAGTTTGAGCAATCTGTTTTTAGATTTTAATAAAGTAGCATGAATTTTTTTACAATCAAAATGTACATACCGAGTATAATACAATATTAGCTCCAAATAGGAGTAATAAGTTTTGAAATTCTAAAATATGACTGTTATGTTTTTCTCCCGAAATTGGACTCAGTACTAACATAATTGAAAAAGGGGTTGCTACGCGCACCCCATTGTTGCTTAATGTAACCACGTAGAGACCATTTTGCCCTCTTTAATTTTTTGTGCCGAGTAACTAATACGGAGTAAGTGATTCCATCTTCACACTGCACGTTGGCAATTTCTTTCAATAAATAGACTTATACAATTTTCATAAACTATACGTTGGTAGCAAATGTTTTCTTTCATAAACTATCATTACCATTTTTTATTTTTTATTTGATTTTTATAAAAAAATATATTAAGGTCATACAACAAATTTATACAATTTTTTCATATCACATCAATATTACATATTTAAAATTGAAAAATAACTTTAAATAATACTACGTTCAAACTATCTTCCATGAATCAAAATTAACACATACTTTGAAAATAAGTTTTAATATTATCAACTACTAAAATATAGACCAAAAGTGATATAAGGAACAATTTCTATTTAAAAATTTCACCATTTTTCTTATAAAAATCTTGTATCAAAATATCTAATAAGTAAATGTATTTTCAAATATCATTTATTTGATGGATTGCCATAAGTTTTTTATGTCTTAAATCACCCAAATTCTTGTCAAAAAGTTACTCCATATTATTTTTGTTTGACATTCAAATAGTTGGTATTATTAAAATTTATTTTCAAAGTGCATATTATTATTGTTTTATGGATGATACTCCGTAGTTCATATTATTTAAAGTTATTTTTCCTTAAAATTTTTGAAAAAGTATATTCATTTTTTGATTAAGTGTTTAACATAATCTAGAATGTTTTTACTTTGACTGGTTTCACCGTTTCAATCCCAGATTAAACAAGACTTGAAATGTTTTTACTTGGACTGAAATTTACTTGTCTAGTTTGGTTTGGTTTAGTATGTGTTGGGATATATCATCCCGGCCTATTACTGTTCAGGAGCCCAAGACTTTACGTAGTACGGAGCCCAATCAGTAAGGCCCATTTTAGCCTATCAGGCCTGTTTCGGCCTTTGGGCCCATTTTGGCCCATTCGGCCCGTTAGGGTGGAGAGCCCCCTTTCCCCCTATTCCCTATAAATAGGAGGTTTCCCTCCATGTAAAAGGATCCCTTCCTTCTTCTTTCCTCTTCTAGAATAGCTTGCAAGACTCCATTAATAGGAGCTCAAAATGTACTATGTAATGGTGAGGAGAGTCCTAATGAGAAAGAGAGGACTTGGACATTAGCCTAAAAAGTCCCGTGGTTTTCTCCCTTTCGGGTTTCCACGTAAAAACTGAGTGTTCATACATATATTTACTACTCCCTCCGTCCCTTATAACTTTGCCAACTTTCCTTTTTTGGATGTCCCAATAACTTTGCCACTTTCCCATTTAAGTAAAGAATTTGTGGTTTCAGTTAATTCTCTCTCCTCTGCACAAACCTCAACCACACAATTTTTACTTTATTAATTCCCGTGCCGGTCAAACTTGGCAAAGTTAATAGGGACGGAGGGAGTATATCGTGTTGGATTAAACTCAACACTGGCGCCGTCTGTGGGAATCTGTCCAAAAAGATTCATGTATTTCTACTGTTCTTGAGTTTCTATTGAGTTTCTACAAAAAATTCATACGAGTAGACTGATTCCAACAAAGAAAAAGCATTCTGGAAAGCAAAATAGGAGGAAGAAGATTCCGAAGGAAGAAAATTTCTGAGAAAATGATTCTGGAAAATTCCAGATCTGGGAAGGAACTGCCAGAGCTGCCGGAACCGCCGGAATCGCCGGAACCGCCGTCATCATTCCCGCCGCCATGAAACCTTAGGCGAGTGTACGCGCGCTGGATGGAGCTCGCGGCAGCGCTCCATTTGGTGATCCCGGCTTCTGGTGAAACGCCGCCTGCAACGGAGTCGCTCGTGGCCAGCATCTGGTTTCACCGACCACCGCCTGAGTCGTCACACCACCTGGTCAACCGCGGCTCGAACCTCCAGTCCTCCACCGGCCATCCTGTTCTGCCGACGCGACGCGAGGACCCGCCGACTGGGAGTTTCTTTGACCTCTGCCATTAACGGGGGTTTGGAGCTCGGGGAGGGTACTCTCAAAGCTCGAGTAACAGATCTCCCACCGGAACCCGACCAGTCGGACGCCCCTTTTCCGCTGCAAGTGCTTGTACCTCCGTCGTGTGGCCTTGGGTTGGTGAACCGTTGCTTCAGCCAGCTTTCCAGAGGATACGGAGTACTGCACACCGAACAAATGCTATGGCTCTTAAAGGGCCACGTCCGAAGATGAATGGTAGCAGACGGGTAAAGCGGGAGAATTTTGGCCAAAGTCAAAGCCAAAGGGAATCAAAATAAACCTCAGGAATTCCCAATTGGCCGAATCTTTGTCTCCACCAGCTAAGTCCATGTTCCTACCCTTTTAATTAATTTACAATGGTATATTATTGCTATTAGTTTTTATCACCATTATTTATTAGGGATTAAAACTCCCAAAATTAAATAATGTCGAGTGACGCTCTTGTGATAAGTAGTTTAACAGTCATTTAAATTTAATGACCGTTGTTGTGGGCCTGTCGGCCCGCTCCCAATCGGCTTTAATTAGCGAGCGGAGCGTACCTGAATGGCCTTTGATAGGAAAATATCATTGCTATTACCTGTTACACCACTATTATTTATTAGGGATAAAAATGTCCCGAATTAAATAATGTGGAGCGAAGCTCTAGTGATGGTTGGTTCAGCCAACATTTTATTGGATATTTAATTTCTTGTGGGCCTGTTGGCCCACTCTCGGTTGGCTTGATTAAGCGATCCGAGCGTCTCCAGAAGGGCGATGCCCCGACGACGCATTTTAATTTGAGGGTTGCGCATTAGTCCGCATGGCACTATGTGCCCGATCGACGATCATACCCCAATGTAATCTGCGCCATTAGGCGCGAAGTGACTGTGCCAAACGCGGCCTGTGGGGCCCGAGGGCACCGAAGCGCTCCACCACGTTTTTTCGAGGGCAGTGCGACCAACTTGGGTCTGAGTTTTCAAACTCACAGACCAATGATTATCTCTATGTAACGTTCGGCGGGCCGCTGATTGGCCCCGCCGCGAGCTGCTACGTCCATTAACCCCGCACGATGAGCCGGGCCGAGGGTCACGATGACCCATAGGCCGGTAATCGTGGATGTTAAAAAGGGAGCCATACAGATGGCTATGTGTGTATACATATTGTCGGGCCGTGCGGCCCGTTACCATGCTTATTGCGTAGCTGAAGCCACTCGGCGCGCGGGAGCGAAATGATTAGAAGACGCTCGGCCCGAGTCTTGAAGACGTGCAGGGCCGGCTAAAGAGGAGACCATCACGGCTGAGGACCGTGAGACGAGCATCTCCACCTAGAGGCCGAGGGCCTAGAGGAGACCACCACGGTTGAGAACCGTGGGACGAGCATCTCCACCCCAGAGACCGATGGCCTAGGAAGAACACCTAGAGGCCGAGGGTCTAGAGGGAACTGCCACGGCGAAGAACCGTGAGACGATCATCCATCATCCAGAGGCCGAGGGCCAAGAGGAAACCATCACGGCTGAGAGCCGTGATACGAGCATCTCCACACCAGGAGCCGGTGGCCTAGAGGAGACCACTACGGCCGAGGGTCGTGGGACCATCCTTACATCACGACCGACCTCACGGTACGGCGTGTTTATCACCTGAAGACCGGTATCATCCCCGCGCTGCGCGGATGAGAGCCGTTGCACGGATACACTTGATCGGCCTCCCGTTGCCGACATCATTATATCACGACCGGCCTCTCGGCTCGGCGTGTTTATCTTTTGAAGACCGGCCTCATCCCCGCACTGCGCGGATGAGAGCCGTTGCTGGATTGCAGGTCGGCCCCTCAGTGCCGACACTATCACATCATGTTCGGCCTCTCATCGCCGACATCATCATACCACGACCGGCCTCTCGGCTTGGCGTGCTTATCTTTTGAAGACCGGCCTCGTCCCCGCCACATCGCGGACGAGGACCATTGTTTGATTCTTTCAGGTCGGCCTCTCACTGCCGACACTATCATGTTATGTTCGGCCTCTCGGCACGACATATTTATCTTTTGAAGACCGGTTTCATCCCCGCGCTGCGTTGGATGAGAGCCGTTGCTCGGATATATCGGCCTGAGCTGGACACTATTGCCGTCTCCATTATCAGGACCGACTGCTCAGCGACATTATGATCATTGTATATCGGCTCCCAATGCCGACCTTCTTGAGTTAGCGATTGGGCTCACCCCTCCCTTCAGAAGGGTGACCATCGCCTCCGCATGACGACCAGCGTCTCCATCGCCTCGTCATTATATTCGTTAGCTATGCCACCACCATTATGTGTGACATCCCGTGATCCCTGCGAGTTTCTTGGATACCGAATGTCTTCTTCGATGTAGGAAGATCGGTAGGACCACAGACCAGGGACGGACTAAGAAGAGCTAGGGAATCTCGATGTAGATAAACCTGTTCCTCCTTGTGAGTTTCGCGGATACCGAACGTCTCTTCGAAGCAAGAGCGCCGGTAGGACCAAGAACCAAGGACGAACGAAGAATATAGATTGCCTCCCTCAAAAAAAAAAAAAAAAGAGAAAGAAGATGGGGAGAAGAGGAGGGTAGCTCCTATGTGGAAGGGAATCTTGCCCGGGCGTGCCAGATCTTCTCCCACCGCCGAAGACGAACGCCTCTCGATGTAGAGGTTAGTAGAGACGCGGAGGGGGCTAGACGAACCAAGGGAGCTTTGCCAAGATAAACCTGTTTATCCCACAATGACCATGGATCGATGGACGTGGGATAACAAAGTCGGGAACCCGTGAGGGTAAACCAGTTCGTCCCTGCGAGTTCCTTGGGTACCGAACGTCTTCTTCGAAGCAAGAGACGCCGGTAAGACTAAAAGGACCACGGACGAACAAAAAAAAGGGGGAATCTCGATGTAGATATACCTGTTCCTCATTGCGATGTCCGCGGATACCGAACGTCTCTTCGATGTAAGAACGCCGGTAGGACCAAGGACCAATGACGAACGAAGACTAAAAGACTCCAAAAAAAAAAAAAAAAGATGCCAGAAGAGCACGGAGCAAAGAATGATTTTATCCCTCGGCGCTATTGGCCGGGAAGTACAAACTGAAAAACATATGTAAAAGAATAATTACAAAACTTAAGTACGAAGAATGAGGTGGCCGACGACGATCGGCTAACATCAGGTTTTCTTTTGTCTTAAACGACGAATACCAGCTCCCCAGATCAGGTAGGAGGGACATCGCCCAGATTTATTTCAGGCTCACCATTCCTTCCCGGATGGAGTCCTGGCAGACGATCGGCTTCTCACAGCCAATCAGGAGAGAGACTTGACACATCACCAGCACGGCCGAGGGCCGCGAGAGGCCGAGGGCCATGAGATGATCATCACTATTTTTCTGCATCACGATCGGCCCCTCAGCGCCATCGTGTCCAGATTCACGGTTCGGCTCGTCCATTCCCTCCAGGATGGCGACGACCGTCTTATGCAGTACGATCGGCCCCTCAGCGCCATCGTACCCAGCTTACGTTCAGCTCGTCCATCCCTTTCAGGGTGGCGACGAACGTCTTATGCATCACGATCGGCTTCTCAGCGCCATCGTGTCTCTTTCACGTTCGGATCGCCCCATTCCCTCCAGGATGGCGACGAACGTCTTATGCAGTGCGATCGGCCCCTCAGCGCCATCGTACCTGGCTTCACGGTTCGGCTCGCTCATTCCCTCCAGGATGGCGGCGACCGTCTTATGCAGCACGATCGGCTTCTCAGCGCCATCGTGTCTCTTTCACGTTCGGATCGCCCCATTCCCTCCAGGATGGCGACGAACGTCCTATGCAGTGCGATCGGCCCCTCAGCGCCATCGTACCCAGCTCACGTTCAGCTCGCCCATTCCCTCCAGGATGGCGACGAACGTCCTATGCAGTGCGATCGGCCCCTCAGCGCCATCGTATCTGGCTTCACGGTTCGGCTCGCCCATTCCCTCCGGGATGGCGACGACCGTCTTATGCATCACGATCGGCCCCTCAGCGCCATCGTGTCTCTTTCACGTTCGGATCGCCCATTCCCTCCAGGATGGCGACGAACGTCCTATGCAGTGCGATCGGCCCCTCAGCGCCATCGTATCTGGCTTCACGATTCGGTTCGCCCATTCCCTCCAGGATGGCGACGACCGTCTTATGCAGCACGATCGGCTTCTCAGCGCCATCGTGTCTGGCTTCACGGTTCGGCTCGCCCATTCCCTCCAGGATGGCGACGACCGTCTTATGCCGTACGATCGGCCCCTCAGCGCCATCGTACCCAGCTCACGTTCAGCTCGCCCATTCCCTCCAGGATGGCGACGAACGTCCTATGCAGTGCGATCGGCCCCTCAGCGCCATCGTATCTGGCTTCACGGTTCGGCTCGCCCGTTCCCTCCAGGATGGCGACGACCGTCTTATGCAGCACGATCGGCTTCTCAGCGCCATCGTGTCTGGCTTCACGGTTCGGCTCGCCCATTCCCTCCAGGATGGCGACGACCGTCTTATGCCGTACGATCGGCCCCTCGGCGCCATCGTCCCTGGCTTCACGGTTCGGCTCGCCCATTCCCTCCAGGATGGCGACGACCGTCTTATGCAGTGCGATCGGCCCCTCAGCGCCATCGTACCCAGCTCACGTTCAGCTCGTCCATCCCTTCCAGGGTGGCAACGAACGTCTTATGCATCACGATCGGCCCCTCGGCGCCATCGTGTCCAGATTCACGTTCAGCTCGTCCATCCCTTCCAGGGTGGCGACGAACGTCTTATGCATCACGATCGGCCCCTCAGCGCCATCGTGTCCAGATTCACGGTTCGGCTCGCCCATTCCCTCCAGGATGGAGACGACCGTCTTATGCAGTACGATCGGCCCCTCAGCGCCATCGTACCCAGCTCACGTTCAGCTCGTCCATCCCCTCCAGGATGGCGACGAACGTCTCTTATGCAGCACGATCAGCGCCCCAGCACCATCGTGTCTGGCTCACGTTAGGGTCGCCCATCCCTTCCAGGATGGCGACGAACGTCTCTTATGCAGCACGATCAGCGCCCCAGCGCCATCGTGTCTGGCTCACGTTAGGGTCGCCCATCCCTTCCAAGATGGCGACGAACGTCTCTTATGCAGCACGATCAGCGCCCCAGCGCCATCGTGTCTGGCTCACGTTAGGGTCGCCCATCCCTTCCAGGATGGCGACGAACGTCTCTTATGCAGCACGATCAGCGCCCCAGCGCCATCGTGTCTGGCTCACGTTAGGGTCGCCCATCCCTTCCAGGATGGCGACAAACGTCTCTTATGCAGCACGATCAGCGCCCCAGCGCCATCGTGTCTGGCTCACGTTAGGGTCGCCTATCCTTTCCAGGATGGCGACGAACGTCTCTTATGCAGCACGATCAGCGCCCCAGTGCCATCGTGTCTGGCTCACGTTAGGGTCGCCCATCCCTTCCAGGATGGCAATGAACGTCTCTTATGCAGCACGATCAGCGCCCCAGCGCCATCGTGTCTGGCTCACGTTAGGGTCGCCCATCCCTTCCAGGATGGCGACGAACGTCTCTTATGCAGCACGATCAGCGCCCCAGCGCCATCGTGTCTGGCTCACGTTAGGGTCGCCCATCCCTTCCAGGATGGCGACGAACGTCTCTTATGCAGCACGATCAGCGCCCCAGCGCCATCGTGTCTGGCTCACGTTAGGGTCGCCCATCCCTTCCAGGATGGCGACGAACGTCTCTTATGCAGCACGATCAGCGCCCCAGCGCCATCGTGTCTGGCTCACGTTAGGGTCGCCCATCCCTTTCAGGATGGCGACGAACGTCTCTTATGCAGCACGTCTGCCCCTCGGCGCTGACATGCCCGGTTTATCGATGAGAGCCACCGCTTTCTATCACATCTCACATTCCTTCTCTCATACATCGCACCCATACATTACATGCATTCATGCATTCATGCATCATACCTCATACATTCATACATACACATGTGCATCGTGTTTTGACAGTACCGCGACATCGGTTTATAGACGCATGGACCTCTAAGCTTCTCCGATTGGAAAGCTCGAGTCAGAGTCCTCTACTCTCGCCTGATGCATTCAGGGGGAGCGTGCCCGTGGAGGAGCACCCTTCGCCCGACCCCGTCGGGAAGGGGGGTGCCTCACCGGCAGATTACGTTCAGGAGTGCAGACACTCACTCATATATTATGATTATGTGAAGACACAGTTTCCAGCAAGACAGAGGAAGAGCGCAGGCAAGAATATATTTTCTCGAGCAGATTCGCACGCTCACTACTCAAGAAACTGGGGGACTTGTGTTGGGATATATCATCCCGGCCTATTACTGTTCAGGAGCCCAAGACTTTACGTAGTACGGAGCCCAATCAGTAAGGCCCATTTTAGCCTATCAGGCCTGTTTCGGCCTTTGGGCCCATTTTGGCCCATTCGGCCCGTTAGGGTGGAGAGCCCCCTTTCCCCCTATTCCCTATAAATAGGAGGTTTCCCTCCATGTAAAAGGATCCCTTCCTTCTTCTTTCCTCTTCTAGAATAGCTTGCAAGACTCCATTAATAGGAGCTCAAAATGTACTATGTAATGGTGAGGAGAGTCCTAATGAGAAAGAGAGGGCTTGGACATTAGCCTAAAAAGTCCCGTGGTTTTCTCCCTTTCGGGTTTCCACGTAAAAACTGAGTGTTCATACATATATTTACTATATCGTGTTGGATTAAACTCAACAGTATGTTAAAGTCCGGTCTACTCCGACTGGTCTGATTTTGGTCTGGTATGAGACTGAAATAAGTCCAATTTAAAACATCCTTAAACAGACGGAATTAGTTATAATATATCACACCAGATTTTGACAGTTGTATTATACACATAGACCAATCAGATCAGTTCAGTCCCAATAAAAACAAGGCTTAAATAGACAAAGCCATATCAAACCATATCAAATCAATCTACTGTATACATTCTTAATCGTCTTTCTTATTGTACAAATGTCATGTAAAGTTTATTACTTTATTTCACTCGAATAAAGACACATTTTAATTTAAATGGGTGGGGTCGAGGTAAGGTAGGGTAAGACAGGGCAAAAGTACGGTGAGGTCGGGGTGGGGCCGATGTGGTAGGGGGTAGAAGTTGAGGTAGGGGCCTAGGGTATGCCGAGTGGGTGGGGTCGGGGTAAGGTAGGGTGGGGTTAGGGGGTATGAGTACACATATTATATTATATATCTATGCTCATGAATATTTGTGTGTCTATATATGTATAGAGTTATTTTAAACATTTTAATGGTAAACGGTGTTTAAACACGATCTTACAACATTGCTTATTTTATGCGCCGCTTATTGTAAACTTATTTTGTAGAAAAATAAGTTACTCCATTAGTCCCAATTTAAGGTTTTTATTGCTTTTCTTTTATTGACGTCTCAACTAGCTAATCAAAGTTCTTATTGACAACAGTATATTGTATATATATCAAAATTATATCTCAAAATATACTATAATTACTTTATTTTATTATTTTTTAAATAATTGTGCTATTTTATAATGAGAATCTTAGCTTGAGGCGGAGGTAATAAATAGCATTTCAAATAAAAGATATGAAGTATTAGTGTACTGTAAAACTCACAAACTGATAGCCGTTATATTTACTTGTATTTAACATAAGTATTTATAAGTATTTGTTGAAGAAAAGAAGAGAAATCGGGCAAATACCTCCAGAATGATAGCTACAACATAAAACATTGCGATGCAGGGCTTTTTGGACCAAGAGAATGACGTTATGTCCATAATTCGAGTATAACGTATTGTATAGAACTCGAAATCACTCGATTCGAGTTTCATGTGAATGCTAACTCAATAAGGTACAAATGTTATGAAGACGTCATGGCCAAAATATGAAGGGAAGAAGACTCAATCAACCAACAAAGTCAGATGTTGCTGGTGGGATTTCAGGATGCATACCTCTCAGTGTTTTATCCATATCGTTTGATTGGCTGAATAAAATCACGTCATTCAAGTTTTGGTGGATAGAAGACTTCATTAACTACAAGTTTGATGAAGGACTCATGTCCAAATTCGTAGCGGAACATCCCCAAAATCCCAGGACAAAACCGGCGCCGGAATTTCACCAAACCGGCGTCGGTTGCATTTAATCCGTTATTCTCCCGGTCGGCCGAAGTATAACCGACGCCGGTTTTACCCTATAACCGGCGCCGGTTATGGTGTTTTTCACTATTATTCCATCCCCGAAGTAAAACCGGCGCCGGTTAAGCCCGAATCTGCATAAAACACAAAGACGTGCAACCATATTTTGATGGGAAAACTCCACTTTCCTTATGATCTGATCAAATATATCTTCCATGCCTGATTGTTGGGCTTGAATAGACTAAAAGATGTCAATTTTTAGCCTATATAAAGCCCCCAATTCATCAAACAAGATCATCATTCCATTCTTGAAGATTAAATTTCAGTTTTTATATTTCCTTTTTTGCATTTTCTTGAAGTGTTGGAGAAGAAGCCATTTCTCTCCTCTACAATTGGTTCTAGGTATTATTTCTTGTATGCTATTGTATTCCATTGTTCTTAGTTACACTTTGTAATTAATATGAGCTTAAGGAGCTAAGTCCTTAGCTAAGGCTAAGGATGAACTTCTATGCCCACTAGGTGTTTGATAAAAGTTCTAAACCAATAAATTGTGATTTATCCTTTACATTTTGATTGTTTATGACTATGGTGTACAACATAGAAGTATGTTAAACTTAGTTTATGCTTGCAATTAACGTTGAGGTCTAAACTATGAACATTAAAGGATAAACATATATATTACCGAGAATAGAAATATATCCGGTATTATATGATACGGGTGTGATGTCTTGATATTCAACGGGGTTTTCGGTAGATGAATGTAAGCCGTAACGGGACTTACACGTAACGAAAACCACGCTCTCGCTGCCTTAACCGGAGTTGAGAATATATTAGCGACATCGTATTCATAATTATTGGTAAAGAACTAATATTCAACCCTATTAAAGCATTTAAGTGACTCCCGAAGCCTTAGTTGTTGTTATCAATCACTTTAATCAAATTAATTTAAGTTATATCTCCGAAAATTAAAAAGAAGAACCAAGTTGTTGTTTTCACAACAACACACAGCTCAAAATCCCTGCACTTTACTCATTTATTTATTTAAAGTCATATACTCTCGGACTAAATTAAACAACGTTTCCCTATGGATTCGACCCGGTATTTTACCGGAATTTATTACTATATCGGCACTTGTACACTTGCAAGTTCAAACCGGTCACAAACTTAGATCAATAAAAAACTATGCAGTATTAATTTAATATTCTAAAGTATAAATAGTTTAGACTAAAATAAACAATTTTCAAGAGGATATAATTAAAATTACGAAATGTGCCCATTAATTAATTAGAAAAAAAAGTAAGTCAAGAGACACTAATTATAGGAATCTACCACAAAGTTGTCACCTTTTGCAATTTTGGGGCACGCTTACGGAAATTATAATTAAGGAAATAAAAAGGTTATATGGTGCGCCAAGCAAATGTTTGGGTGCGCTAAAGCACGTGTGCTTTAATGATACGAGGACTTCGTATAACTTAAGGGTGAACTTGTCTATTTTAGTTGAAAAATAGGTGCGCATAGCAGTTTTAAGGGTGCGCCAAGTCCGTCCGTTGAAAAATATTGTCATTAATGATAGTAAATATTGCCATGTTTAATTCATAGTACTACAACTATTTCGCAGTAATTACTACAAGATGACAGTAAATACTGTCATGTTACTCATATTTCGGGGGAAAAATATATAATAGTCCTATTTTGAAATTTCAAAACTCGTTTATGAGCTATTTTTCTTTTATCATTTAACCGTAGCTGACTGCATGAGCTATCTCCATAGCTCTCCTCTTTCTCACTTTTCCTTCGTTTTCTTTGTACATTCCTCTTCTAAACTTTCCTTACATGTTTCTACAAGCTATCGTGCCGTTTTTGTAGTGATGGGATCTTGGGCGTTCAAAATTAACTTATCATTAAATATTGTAGAAAAATCTGGTCAAATAAATTCTTGTACTATTTTCAAAAAGTCAATTGAGTGCTCGTACTTTATCATCGATCAATCTAGTCCCCAAAGTGTTAAAAACAATCAAATCCTCTGTTTGAGAGGTAACCAGCCGGTAAACCATTTATTTGGTGATGTAGATGATTATGCTTAAAAAACCGTGTCCTTGTTCTCTGCTAATATCCTTTGGCCGTGTCTAGAAGGAAAAAGAAAGAAGCAAGGGTGGGGCGGAGAGTATTCCTCCGGCGGCTGTCAAACAAATCGATGAGAGCTTTGAGCTATGCAGTCTCTGCCGATTCAAAGGTCTCTTTGAGTTCCGACTTTTGGTTGATCTTTCTCTGTTGAGTTCTCAAACTAGACTTGATGTTGTTAACTTTTCGAGGAGTCTGATAATTCTAGGCAGTGGCGGAGCCAGAGATATTTCGAAGCGGGGGCGTATTGAAGGCTAAGAATTTTGTGTATTTGCTCAAAATATAATAAAAACAATAAAAGCGTAATACATTAGAGCATCCACAATGATGATCTTCAACTTTACGTTTTTTCATAGCTTATTATTGCCATGTCACTTCCACATAAGATAATCTCAAATAATCTCCATATCAATAAATCTCTCCTCATTCATGACCTTAATTTACCTTGGATAGGAGCATGAGCATGCACGAACTACAAAGCTAGTCATCACCATAATTATGAGTATATGCCTAGAAGTTGGAAATAATCTCAAAATAATTCAGCTTTAGAATTTGATACCAGATTATTTTATCAAATAATCTCATAAAATAATCCCAACTCCTCATCCATGATCCTAAAAAAAATCCTCCACATCATCAAAATGATCCCAAAAATAATTCATGGATGTGGATGCCCTTAGCACAAATTAGTTCAATACATACTGCTTGACTCATAACTTAATCTCGGTAGATTAATTACACGAGTTTTAATTTGTTAAAAATTTTGTATAATAACTTTATGTTGGAAAAACACGACCCCCATTCTTTTTCAGGATCACGAGTTCATAGACTTATATATCTACACGCTCGTAATACAAAAACTCAATCTAACAATATCACTTTGAATTACCCTCACTCACTTTTTGTACACGAGAATACTTCACTCTATCTAATTTGATCACATACACTTCATCAAATGATATCTTTGAGTCTTCTTCTCTCACAAGAAGCTAAGGCTCTTACTCTCCTCTTTCAAGGAGACTCTTACTTTCACTCACTCAAGAGCTCTCCTCAAAGTTCTCATATAAATGGGAATCTTCTCTAGAATTTTTTATACACCATTACACATCTAGATTCTTCCAAAAAGTATCCACTAGCTCCTCTTATCTTTTGGAAGTATTTAGAAAACCCCACAATTCTTCAAATTTTTCTAGATGCTTCCACACACTTCTGCACGATTTTAGTGAGTTCCACACTTCTCTAGGAAACTCCACATTATTATTATTATTATAGAACATCCAATACTTCTCTACAAACATATACTCCCTTCGTCCCAAAAACAACTTCACAGTCACTATTCATTGGTCAACTTGAATCACTCGTAATCTTTTACTTTTTATATAAAATTTTTATCAAATTTAAATTTTATTGATCAGGCTTTGTAGCGGTTTTAATGTAGTTTCTGAATATGTAAATTTTATTTACTAAAAATAATCCGAGTGTGAGCAGGGATCGAGTTGCTTTATCGTCAGTCAAGCATCGTAAACCGAACGGGAAGTTAATTTTGGGACGGAGGTAGTATAGAATCTTGAGTGTGGTGTGTTGCAGCCAATACTTGTATTACTATAGACACATACATTTCCTGAAAGACTTTGTCTTTTATTTTAACACTTAATCTAATATTATCCTTAAGTGATACTTATTTTTTAAAAAGGAGATGCATTAAATATACTATAAGTAGTAGTAATTTAAAATTTTGCCCGAAGCGGGGCGCTTGCCCCCTCATGTCCCTCCCTAGCTCCTCCCGTGATTCTAGGGTAAGTGAAGAAGGGCAGCAAACTCACCGGAGAAAGGCGGACTAACAAAGAACGGAGAAAGAAAAGGGAACATCGAGCTTATATAGGAGGAAATAAAAAAATGCCAAGTACTCCGTAAAGAAAAAGAAAGAAGTTGCAGAGAAGGAATGGGATCGTGAAGAAAGAAAGGAGGAAAGAAAAGAAAGAAAAAGAAAAAAGAAAAATTTAATGCTACGTAGTAGGGCTGGGTCCGTAAAACCGAAAACCGAATCAAATTAAACCGAACCGCGACCAAATAAAACTGAATCGCCAAAAACCGAAACCGAATGTAAAAACCGAACCGTAGTAGTTTGGTTCGGTTTTGGTTTTTACCCTTCAAAATCGAACCGAACCGAACAAACCAAACAAAAATGAAATATGAAATTTTATTTATTAAATGCAAGCATTAATCTTAATATCATTAATAATTTTTTAATTTCTTGTGCTAGAGAAATAATGTTTGTGCTATGTTTACTTTAGTTTAGTTTATAAATGCATTTACACATTCATTCTCCATAATAATGTAGCTATATTGATCTATTATGTCTTTTATGTATGTATGTTGCAATTTGTTGCATGATTATATGTTTTTATCGGTTATTAGTAGTAATTAACTTTTATTTTTATGTAACTTAATTTTTTTCAACTTAAATTTTTATATTGATAAAACAAATAAATATGCATCTCAGCTATATCACATAGGACGTATATATTCATAAACTTTTTTCAAACTAGTCACAAACAATGTAAATTAAGAATATACACACTTTTATCTTTCCCGCATACTCATATAATTCACGACATATTTGTTTATTATTATTTTCTTTATTTGTTGAAGTATGCTTGCATTTTTATGTAATATGTTTGATCCCTCCAACTTTTGTATCAATTTTAAATCAAATGACAAATTTTTAGTAAAAAAACCGAAAAAACCGAAACCAAACCGAAACAAACCGTACCAATCAAACCGTGGTTCCAAGTTATGGAGTGTAAAATCGAACCGAAACCGAACCGAACTTTTACTTTGGTTCCGTATTTGGTTTTAGATCAAAACCGAACCGAAAGAACCGAACTCACCCCTACTACGTAAAGGTCACGTCAGCTGTCACTGGAGATATATACTTAATCAACTGGTTAAAAAGCAAAATTGAATGTTTTTTTATAGTTGGAGGACTTGATTGATCGATGTCAAAGTAGGAGGATCCAACTGACTTTTTGAAAATAGTGCGAGGAACTATTTGACACTTTTCTCAATATTGTATAATAATATTATATGATCAACAATTAAAGAAATGTAACTTTTTAAGAACAAAAAACTAGCAAAATATACTTCTACATTTCATTTTCAAAATTTTGGATTGGACAAAGGGAAACCACCAGTGATCAACTAGATCCTGTCATGGATATGATGACTTCCATTAGTGATTCACCTTTTACTTGCTCCAAAAGGTTGAATCCCCAACACCAAGGGGCCCTCATGTTCCGATCCGACAAAGCATATGAGAGTTATATATAATGATGACTTAATTGAGCACAGAGGGTAGACACGTGCCCGTTGTGCACAAGAAGCCCCCTAACATTGAGAGGTTACTCCCACACTGCCGCTTGTGATACTCAATCATGGGTCACTTGTTCCAATTTTCATCCTTGTGACCAACATAGTCATTCACCTTTTATGTTAATTGAGGAAACAATACCACTTCAGATCTAAAAAAAATAGTACTAATAGTTAAGTTATACCCCGTAGTTTATTGCTCTCTTTCTGATCCAGGCGAGTAGTATGGGGTATTAGTTTTTAACTTTTTATATTACTGCTTCGACTAAAATGTTGTAAATGGAACATTATTGCGTAGAAGAAGAAAAATACATTATTATTTCAACCAAGCCAAACAACTATGTCTAGAGCATTGACATTGAAATGAAGTTTCCTATAAAATATGAATTCTTAAAATACTATATTATGATCTCATGCCATTCTTTATGTTAGATTGATGTTTTAGGATGAAACTTCAATGTATTAAAGTCAAACCAATACATTACCGTGGTGTGGGATCCTATGAAAAATGGCGATGATTATGAAACAATGACAATGACTATGACGAGCCGATGAACAAATGAGTTGTGACATGATCTAGACACGCTTGTCTAGATCATGAGGGAGTGCTGAAGTATTTTTTACAACACAAATATATGAATCTTAAAGTATTATATTAAAAATATCTCAGGACTCTTCTCCTGCTAGATTTGAAACCATTTTTAAAACATCTTTGAGATATTCCGTAATAAATATGCATGACAAATTTATCATGCATCACTATATATTTAAATTCCATATAGACCTAATTAAATGCATGTTGTTCACATGAAATTTCTTTTGTCCAAATTCAATTATTTCTTAATAGAATGCGCGCTTGGAATGCTTAAATTTGCACATTTTAACACACTCAAACTTATGATATGTAAATAAATCAAGAAAAATTGGTTGTAAATGAGAGTAAATAAAACCGAATAAGCTGCCGTAGGACTGATTTTGTTTTTGATCTTAAAGAGGACTAAATTCCAGTAATGTTCCGATTTTACCCTTAATGATTATACGCTCCATTCATGTCCAACGGCCCAAAACCCATCAACCAGATTGTTCGGTCCACACATGTTCCAAAACCCCACATCCTTTACTCTTAGTTTTTATTTGCTTCGCATATACTCTGTATCAATCTTATTCAGAGTAGTTGCTCATTGGTTCCAAACAGCAAGGTCGTGGACGAAGCTACAGGATGATGAAACGCGATGAATAGAAAGCAAGGTTGTGTCTCTCTTCTGCTTCTTCTTTCCGTCCCTCTTGTTTCATCTTTTCATGGCAAGACTAGAGCTTGGAGCTCTATTTCTGATTTGATTGCTAAAGAATTCCAAAATTAATCTGAAAATGCCATCAAAATGGCATTCTTACACTTCAAAAATTCTATATTTTTCTCTGAAAATGCCATTTATATGGCATTTTCAATTCATATTGGCATTCGATTGAAAATATTGGCATAGATGGTGGGGTCGGTTAGATCTGCAGCTGTGGAGTCCGGATCTGCAACGGCGAACCTCAGATCTAAAGTGGTGGCGGCCAAATCTGATCTGCAAGGGCAGCGGCTGAGGGCGGCCAGATCTGGCCAAGTCAACATCGGCAGCGGACGGATCTCCAGAGACAACTACTAGATCTGTAGCGGCAACCATTTCTGCGGTGGAGGTGGCGGTGGCCGGCGACGGCTGGCGACTGGCGGCGGTCTAGAGTTTGTCGGTGGTAGTAAGTTTGGGCAAGGTTGAGGGTATACATGTCCAATCACAAATAATAACTCCTATTTGTGGAAATCTTATACTTTAGTCCTATTTTAGCAATTAAAGTTGTATTTACTCCTATTTAGGTAAATACCTCATAAATCAAACATACATAGTATATAATACTCCGTATGAACTTGAATACAATTTTTTTAATATATGACCAGTGAACAACATCACAATCACTAAAAAGTAGGGATAGACATTTCAGTTTGGTTTAACTGAACCATACCAAACCAAACTAAATTCAATTCGACCATATGCAATTAAGTTTGTTAGTATTTCTTGCAAACCATATTAAATCGAATCGAACTAAAACCGAGAAAACCAGAACAAAACTGAACTGGACTAAAGAAATTCAATAGTATGGTTTTTGTTTGGTAATAATTCTTCCAATCTGTTCCAAACTAAAACCGATAAAAACCAAACCGAAAATTGATATGCTCACATGTTAGCATTGTTATGCATTCAACAGACCGTAAAATTTATTGAGATATTAAGTATGTATGCAATTATGTACTGTGATAAATTTATTTTGCAATAAAATATATTTGAAGTGTATTAAAGTAAATGTCAAAGTATATTAAGATACTAATTATATTTTATTGATAGTTAATCATGCATCAAAATATATTTGATGTGCACAGTATAAAAGTATAAAACTAATTAAGTTTATGTTGTTCACATGAAGGGGCTATTTTGTTGAACATAGCAGGCACTTCATATTTTCTTTTTTGTTTGTTCCAAAAAAAAATATCACTTTTCTTTTAAAGTAATGAATTTGTGACTTTACTTATTTCTCTCTTACTTACACAAACTTCAGTTACACAGTTTTAATTTTTCTTATTTCACACTCGATTTAAAGTTGACAAAGCAAGGAGATGAATGTAGTACAATTTTATAAGGAATAGTGCCCATTGGATTATTACGAGTGTACTGTTCAAATCTAAACACTAAAAAATCCCAATACATGTAGATAATTACATTTTCATTCACCACTCCGTACAAATCTACATTCACATTTACAATAAACAGTACTTCCAAGCCTCAATATAAGTCATAAAGTAAGAATCTGAAGCAATCACCCCAAAATCATACAACAGACAATATCAAATCTATAATAACTACTTTCACCGGTCTTCTTGCTCCTGAACAATTATAAACTCCTCTCAACCACCTAAATATGACCACCCTAGAATGCCTAGATTATCCATAAAAATGATACATGTTAAACACATAACCATAACAAGCAAGAAGCAATGAAGCAAAAACTCTAAAGATAAACGACAAAGTAAAATCAAGTCAACCACAATTGATGCATGTTTTTGCGTGGGCAAAGCTTCATCGTTCTCATACCTCCACCATTAACATCTAACTTGACGAGTCAGGCACCCCTATTCTTGATGTCTGTCACAGTTCTGAACTTGTTTTTATACAAAAATTTTACAAAAATGAACCTCGGAGTTTATAAAAATTTGACTACAATTTGTATCAAGAAAGCAAGCTTTATAATTGAGATTCATAAAAAGAATAGTGAAGTTTTTAATCCATCGACTATTGTGTCAGTGACACTTATGAACTCGGTTTTTAATTTTTCCAATCCTAAAACTATTGTGTGAGAAATACTTCTAGTCCTCGACTTCAGAACTTCTCACATTTAGTCTTCTAAGTATTGTCATATTGACATTTTTAGTCATTCTACGTGATTTTTATATACGAATTGAATACGAACCAAATACGAACCAATCAATTTTATCCGACCTAGACCCAAACATGCATCGCCACATGGCTCCTAACTTTGGAACGAATTCCAAATAATAAGAAAAGAATTCAGACAATAGAGAAGACAATAGCCATTTCATTAGCTTTAAGCTTTTAAAGCTATTCATGAGTTCAGGAGGAAGATGATCAAGTCTGCCCCATTCTATTCATTACATTCAGCTATTTAAAAGCAAAATTACAACTACATCCGTTTAACAGCTAACTGATTCGTTAGTCAACTAACTGCCTAATCACAGTTGCTGACTTGGCACACGTCTAATACAATTCACTCCCCTTAAACTGAAGCTTGTGCTCAAGCCAAGAATTCAACCCAAAGGAAAATCATGATATTTCTCGACACTCTTCATATACTCCCAAGTTGCATCTTTTGAAGTATCATTGGATCACTACACAAGCAAATAAACCGCTGCACTGTTTCCTGTTTTTGCAATCTTCCTCTCCATAATAGTAGTAGGTTCAACCCTCAATTGTAGTGGGTTATCTATAATATCTACAATAGGAACATAACTAGTGAGAAGTATGGGTCCATGATGTCTTTTTAACTGTGAAATATGGAATATAGTTAATACATGATGTATCTTAGCGTGTTCAGGCAGATCCAATCTATAAGCCACATTTCCCACCCTTCAAAGTTCAAAGGGTCCGAAGTATTTGGAAGCTAACTTCTGGTTAGCCGGGCTAACTTAACCCTATATGTTACCAATTGTTGTCTATAGGTCTGAAGTTTGACATAAATCCAATTCCCAACATCATACTCCTTATCCATTCTATGTTTATCTGTCCGACTCTTCATCCGGTCTTGTGCTCTCTATAGATGAAACTTAAGCATGCGGATACACTCTTTTCTAGCTTTCAAGTCTCTATCCACAACATATATTGTACTGTCACCACTAACATAAGGTACATGCACAACATGGGATTGACCATCAATTACCGCATATGGACTCCTTCCAATAGCTGAATGGTCCAAGGGAATCCAGTTGGCCCATTCTTTTGGTTTTCGCCTGTCATACACCCAAGATAAGTGTCCAAACATTTACCTCAGCCTGCCAACCTGTTTGCGGGTGGTAAGCAGTGGACATAAGTAGATCAACTTGTTGCAGCTTAAAGAGTTCTTACCAAAACTGACTTTAAAATATCTTATCTCTCTCACTCACAATAGTTTTAAGCAGGCCATGTAGCTTATAAATGTGATCAAAGACTCAAAGTAGACCATAGCCACAGTTGTAGCGTTGAAAAATTGAGTTAATAGCAAAAAATGTGCATATTTACAACTAACTACCTAATAACAGGTGCTGACTTGGCACAAGTCTGTTACTCAGACAAGCCCATGTCGGCAAGCATCAAATCTAGAGATGGACAGTCCGATTCCAAGCCATGACCAAATCTTTCCAACCAAAACTTCAATCCGAAACTGGAAGCGCAGACATCCTAATACCAGTTTGTGCAAAACCGCTCTGAACCAGTTCATTTCAATCTCAATTCTTTTACAAGGAACCACAGCAAAACTGTACCCAAAACCCGAGGGAGAACCAAAGCCAGAACAATTGTCAAAAATCATGGAATTTTGGACAAAAAAGATAGAGGCAACACAACAGAAGGAAATAAAATTACAACTTATTACTTCAATGTCTTTAAATGAGGGATCCATCTACAAAAACAAGCACATTGAGGAGGCACACCCATGGATAGAAGTGTGGATGGGTTTCTTTGTTTCTATTTTTCTTTTAAACCATAATTCATATCCATGGACAGACAGCCACACTAATCTCAAAAACTAATACCCCACACTCCCACAACCTATGCTACTACATGAATTGAGAAAACTATGGTACATTTTGCCATCAAATGATGGGAATATATAAGGGAATAAAATGAAAGAATTGCTTCTGGAGTTGCATACCGAGAGAAACATTTGCAATCTACATCCGCACCAAGGACCAGTGAGCTGCCTCGGAATCGTCAGCACAGGACCTGGAGAAAAATATACGAAATACGAACAGAACCACTTGAAGCAGTACTCAACCAGATTTGAATGCTTGTGATGTGGGAGTTGGTCCTACAGCCTTCATGACTAGTTCTATCCGTCATCAGTGCATGTACTTAACACGCTGACAACATACTTGTACTATGTACAACCCGATTATACTAAACAACTTGATTATACTGAACTCCCAGCAGCTTCAGAAGCATTTTGCCGCATCATCTCCATTACAGCAGCCCGGCGCCTTGATTCAGCTTGCTGTTGTAGCCTCCTTAGATGTTCTCGTAAATCCCTGTTGTATGTTTATATGTTTGAAAAGTTATTGTTCACAGGGATAATGATAATTGTTTAAAAAATGAAAAAAGAAAAGGGAAGAAATGGCATCTGGGTTTGTGAGGGACATGATTAGACAACGACCTGCACCGTGGGACAGCGCAATCTGCATCTTTGCATGCCCGTGCATGAAGTTGAAGAAGATACCACATCTTCTTGCAGAGACCGCAGCCTGCAGAAGCACGCTTTTTGCATAGCATCGCATGCCTGAAGAGACCCTTAACCTTGCGACAGTTGGGATACTGACACTGCCCAGAACGACACCGAGAAGCATGCACTAGAAGATCAAGCATTTTCCTAAGCTGCAGAGTCAAAATGAAAAAAAAAAAACATCAGACCTAGCATGTCGAGGAGACAACCGGTCAACATGCATGCAGCTCACAGTTAATAACATTTAACAGATACAAGTTAGCAAAAAGAACCATAGTTGAACTAGGATTTGAAAATATCATTATGAGTTTGAAACATAGTCAGTAATATACCTGAAGAACACGTAGCTGCCGAGCTTCCTTATTTTGTGCATCGCGGTCAGCAATGGATGGATAATTAGTCAACTTATGAGGATGATCGACTCCACCATCCTTCTGATAACAAGCATTGCAAACATCATACTCTGGACAAACCTCACATCGCCAGCCTTGACCAGCTTCAATATCAAGATGGCATATGTTGCATGTGGTCACAAATGCAGGAGCAGTGGGATTGTGAAGATGGTATAGGACCATCATCGAAGAATGTTTAGCACGGCGGAGGGTATCGTATTGGTAGTGGTTTCCTTGACAAAGGCTCAAAAATGCTTGTCTTGTATCAAAAAACTCACTCTCTAAAATATCATCTTCATCCTTTGTATCAGCAGGCACATCATTGATATCAACCTACACATTCAAATCCACACCTCTTATACCCCCAGTCATTAACTATACATTAAGATCATCTTATCCACGAAGTAGCAGAATAGCTTACTGGATAAAATGTATGCTTGTCTTTTTGGTTGATAGGGTGCCTCTCTCTGTCATCAAGTTTTTGCTCGGCTTCATAGCACCTGGAAGCAAAAAAAAATAGACAGGCAATAACCTTCAGAGAGAAGAGCACAAAACAATAGAAGCAAATTGAACTTGAGAAATATCAGGATGTTTATACTTGGATTTATTTGTCTGATACCATACCGGACCAAACCAGTTCAGACTTCAGACCACATCATACCATACAAGACCAGACTTTGACAGTTGTAAAATATACAGATTACCAGACCATACATTTACCAGACTAGATCAGACTAGAAAATTTCAGTCCAACTGAAAACATCCTCAATCTATCCAGAATGAAAACCCAATTATTATTATAAGATGAAAAAGGAAAGTGTGACGAACAAAAAAAGTACCCAAACAACCTGTGTTATATAGGTACAGAAAAGCAACACCAGAATCTCTACCATAAATGGAGACGGTGGAATAGAAGTTTTCATGCAAATAAGAAGACGTCCACAACCCACCTATTAATATTGCTAAAACCATACCAGTTTATTATTCTAAGACTCTGACATCTTGAAAAGGATATATCTTTAGTGAAATAAATCTTGTGCCATCATTTGTCGTTAAATGTTTACATGCCAGAAATCAAAAGATACTTGCAGCTTAGTAAATTATGTAAAACTGAAACAGATCAACAAGACCAAGGAATAAAGACGGTGAGAGGGAGGCACATCCTTACTTGTCACAAAGCTGAAATTTTTTGCATTGATTGCAGACCCAACGTGTTCCACATACCATCAGAATGCAGCAATGACTGCATGCATGTTGCAAGTGAACCATAATAAAATCCTCCTTCATTGGGCTGATCGTTTCACCAAGCTGAAAAAGCACAGATCTGTGTGAATATAATTATCTACAGAAATTAGGTTTAGACTGTTAGACTAGATGTATCCACTTACTATTGTTGTGCTGTCTGTTACTCCCGTTTTCCCAATTTAATTTACATGTTTTCTTCTTTAGTGCTGTCTGTTACTCCCATTGTCCCAATTTAATTTATATGTTTTCTTCTTTAGTCTCTATAAAAGTAATTCGGACTTTCCTAGTTAAACACTACTAGGTTTTTACTTTTCATAATTCACCCTTTAACCTTTTAACTTTTTCAAGAAGAAGTTTCACCATGTGTGCTATATACCTATTTCAGGGAACTTCAGAAATATATCACAATTGATGTTTAAGAAATTGCCCTAAATTGGACTAAAACATGGTTAAAATTCCCAAGTAGGAGTTTAAGTTTTATATTCCCCAAATAGGACTCCAGATTACATTACTACCCGTACCCTTCTCCCTAAAAAAAGTCGATCGACTCTTCCCAACCTCGATCGCAACCCTTCTCCCTCTCCATCGATTGCCGTGAATTGTGACTCCTCCCCTGCGACTTTCCCATTGGCTGGAGCTTCTCCACCGTCGACCACAGCTGTCTGCTCATCCAATCGCAGCTTATCTGCCACCAATCGCAGTCACTTGCTCATCCAGGTACTCTTACTCCTCCTCCTCCTCCTCTTATTCTTCTTCTTTTTCTTCTTTTTCTTTTTCTTCTAGCTCTGTTCCTGGTTCTCTGCTTTCTTTTTTTTTTCAATCAAATTCTAAAAAAACAATGAATTTGAAAGTTTCAAATGAAAAGCTAGATTTCAAAAAAGGACAAGTAAATGGATATATATGAACTTGAATTTCTTTTTATCAATTTTGATTAATTTGAATCTCAAAATGCCCTGACTAATGATTCGCAAGAAAATGTCACTTTTTGAATCAGAGAATGACATAATTATTGGTTATTAAAAAAATGTCACTTTTATGTCAGTACGTTTTTCAAAATGGCAATCTTGGTTTGAAATTACAGTATTTGGAATGCCATATTGAGAATGTTATGTTTCTATACGAAAATGTCATTATTGTGTCATTATGCATATCAAGTGGCATTCTCCGTGGAGGTTACAGGGACTTGTCGGAGAGACGTGGTGAACTCAGCGAAGGGCGGCAGAGGCAGCGGACTTTCTGGAGGATACACGGTTGCGGCACTGGAGGATGGTTGCGGCACACACCTGGAGGATGGCTGCGATGCGGCACTGGAGAATGGTTACGGCAGTTTTATTAAGGCTATTATTGTCCAAACACAAGTATTTACTCCTATTTAGGGAATTTAAAACAATATGTCCTGTTTTTGCATTTACCTCTCGTTTTGCTCCTATTTTGGGAATTCTTTCTTGATGATTTTCATTAAAAACTGCTAAGAGTAGATGTCCCTAATACTTTCGGACGGAAAGCCTCAAGGAGCATATATGTACCAAAAGTGAGGCTGAAAGAAACAACTGTTTATCTAGGAAATTATAATGAAATGGGAAATATTCATAACTCATACGTAGTATTATGTAGCATGATTTAGAAAATGAAATCCCTACTCTCATGATTACCTTCTGAACTAACCATACTACTGTTGTACTTTGGGAGTGAATATGTGTAGCACCTATATTGGTTAGATTTATGGCATGGACAAGCCATGTACAAAATGTAGGTTCTAGTCATCTAGATAACGTATACCAACTTTAATATAAAGATAGGACATGCCAACATGAGGCCACAACAGAGATAACGGCCACAATAAATGAAACGCTATAGTATGTGCCTAAATAAAGATATGTGTAGCAGCAAAAAGGCTGTAAAAGTACTTGCTTTAAAACTGTCAATAAAAGCTCTCTTTATTCAAAAAGATAAATAAGTAACAAATCCTTATTTAAAAAATGTCAATAAAAGCTCTTTATATTAAATAGATAAATAAATATGAGCAGAGAAAAACAGTAACCTTGTGCATCAGCAACAGATCCTTTGAAGCATTTCCAGAGAGATCAGTTTGACCAGAAGCTTTTAAAGCTCTTTTAGTTATGGTCTTCTTCAATGATCCCTTTTTATATTGTTTTCTACCGTCCTCTTCCTGCTGAAGCTGATAGATCATATCTTCAGCTGCGCCAGGCCAATAATCCCCATCAAAATACGGCAGCCGTGATGCAGTAACCTTAGCTTTACATTCACCCGTAGACACAAAGAAATGATCATATAAATTAGTGAGATCCACCACAATTTTTTCCTTAGAAGCTTTCCTTAGCATTGCTAAATACCTGCAACAGGGAAATTTTAAAAAAAAGTTTAGTCCAGGAGAAAAGGATGAAGCGCGAAATTCATATCAAGGATAAAAAAGAGTATCAAGCTCACCACTCCCTCAGTTTGTCAGATCTTGGTGTTTTCTGAATTTCAGGATGGCAATATAATATATAATCTTCCCCCTTCAGTGGAGGGCAAGCCCAGATGTAGCAACTTGTGAAACCACGCTTTTTGCAGTACTCTAGATATCCAATCTGGAAGGAGTATTTTGAATATCACGAGAATTCCATTATGGACAGAATAAATCCATACATTCATCCATCAATACCCCAGAATTTAAAATATGCTAATAATTTTAGATATAAATGATAATAAAAACAACTTACCAGAATTTCATGATAAACAAATGTACGGAGAGCTTCTCCGGTCACTGCTTTTATTTCGGGCCTGAAATACTTAACAGAGTCCAGGTAAGAGAGGTAAACACGCCGATGATTAGGCTGTGAGCATTCTGAACCGAATTCCTGAACATACATGCCGAATAGGCACACTTCTACACCTTCAATTCTTTGAAACAACAACAATACCTGAAAAATGCAACGTTGTTGTTCATCAATCACAATGCTACATTGATACGGGCCCAAGTTCCACATAGTATGGGATAAAAGTGATTATTTAGTTTCTGTTAGCTGTACCCAATGCTAATAACAGAAACACAAAAGCAAACTGGTGTTAGCTTCGTAGTAAAGTTTTCAAGTTTTCAGCTGTCAAACAACACAAACATCAAGCTATTGAATCTGAGAGAAACCCTCTTGAGAATTCATAAAAGGGAGGGTTTGACATAGATCCCCTAAGGTCAGGCAATATGTCATAACTTACAGCCCCTTTAATGTAACCCCGCCCCATCTTTCACTCTCAATGTAAAATTTTAGGGCATAGTCATTCATTTTTCATACAACATTTCCCTGATGCAAGTGTAACAAGGAAATAACACTTTGATGGGGGGACATACATATGCATATTCTTAAAGAGAGTATTGGGTTTCATAACATTGCCGGTCTAAATATCGGGTTTCACAAAATTGTCCCTTCATAAAATCAGTACACTGTGTGCTAGCTAGGTATTGAAAAGTCGCCCCAGGTTTCAAGAACTTTATTTTTTGAGGAGGAAAAAACCAACAATACCTTCGACTTAATGGACTTAATGAGAACAATGACTTAATCGTTCAGCCATTAAGTCATGTTTACTTACGACTTAATTGAAAACATGACTTAATCATTCAGTCAAAAAACTGACTTAATCATTAAGCTGAAAAATAGCAGTCCTCATTAAGACGTTTAGTAACACATCTTTTGCCAATTTTTTTAAATAGATTGTGAAATAGATTTATGTTAATAAAAGAAATTTCTCATTGACATTATAGTCCACGAATAATAATTAATTGATTATTGTACTCAATTCACGTTTATTCAGCACACAAAGTAAACAGCCTCGTATACAAATACCACTTATCCAGACACACATCTTAATCCAGACAGACGTCTTAATCCAAACAGGAATTAATAGAAAGAGAAAAAGTAAACAGCCCCTAAGTTAATCCAGGCCAGCAAAGTATGCCTTCCCAGATAGTTGAACATTGCAATATCTCGGGCAGGCATAACTAAAAGAACTTAGACATTTTATATAACTATATAAGCAGCTATTTCCAAATTAGAGGACCTGACAACTGAATATGTAAAGTCATTATCATGGATCATATATCACAGTATCATTTTGACAAATTAATTTTGAACCAAAAAAGACATTAATAAGCACATTACTCTTCAATGTTGTGTGTCTTTACTTATACAGAGTATATAATTCTGTATGAGTTATTCATATTTAGAATTCGGCTACAAACAAAGTTGCAGCCTAACTAACTAGATTGACATCTATGTTTTTATTCGAGATCAACATCTCGTATTATTGATTTGGCTTGCATCCTGAAATTAAAATGCTACAAATAATATTAAAACAATAATAATAATAATCAAGATCAATTCACATCCAGAAAGAGTACCTTTGATTTATATGGAAACTCAGGGGGGTAGTTCTCTTCTTGAAATATTTCAAGAAATCGTGGCTTAACTTCTAACTTCTTGTCGACTGATGAAACAACCCTTACGACAAGTCCTTCTGCTCCGGGAACCTGGAATGATAACATAAAACAGTAAAACAAAGTAAATGCTTGTACAGTTGTACGAGCCCAATGGACCTTTTCCAACCTGAGAGGGATATGCTGACATTTGAACTTAATATATAGGAGTTTTTTTTAATTTATGTAGAGTGCTGCAAGGGATACATTTCATTAGAGGGATTAAACAGTAAGAGGGTCAATGTCCCAAAGGAATTATGATGATCAAAATACTCAACCTAAAGAATTTATGAGTACCCAAAGATTTATGAGAGTCGAAGTATCAAATAACTTATGAGGATTTACAAAGGTTCAAAGTGTCAAAGGGTTTACAAGAATCAAATTATGTAGCAGATTCGCTGGTCATGCGTTACAGTTTAGTTATGGGTACTGGGTAGTCCCACATTAATTTAGGAAACAAACCAATATTTACACCAGTACTTAGGTAACAAGGTAACCAAATCTTACTTTTCCATTAAAGTGAATTGGTACTGGTTCCTCCATACATTTTAGTTGCAATAGATCTCCGATTGAATAGTGATTTGCATGAATCATGATCTGTCTACATAGTCATTATATTCCCCTGTTTAGCTAAAACCCACCCAGTTGACCTCGTTCCATTGTGAAACTCAGACAATTTTAAAGGAGCATGTTACTTTAAAAACAAAAACTGCATCCGATCCTATTTATGTGTCTCCATTGACTAAATCACACAGTTTACGATTCTAAGAAAATGAAATGATTACTTCATACAGTAACAAAAAAATTATCTGGAACGTCTTCATTTATTATGGAGTACATACTCTAACCAGCCATCTAGTATGATTAGTATATGAGTAAATTTTGGAAGAAGAAAAATAGATATATATAGATTTCAAAATAGGACAGAAGTAAATTTGATCAACAGGCGTACTTAATAATCAATGGAGCTCAATGTGGTTAATCATTTTTCATAACTTTCCACTTCAACTATTATAACTTTGGTCAACCAGTATTCTGTTTCATTATACATTTATACTGTTCTGTTAACGACGTGTTCAGTGAGACCGAACCAATAATGCAAATCACAAATTAGGAAAAGCACTAGATTATTCAAACTGCATGGGGTTATATGCATATAAAAACTGTATATATTACATATGGTTCACATACCTCATCGTGGCTTTTCCCTTGGAGCCTCGCCCTCTCCTGTCTTTCCTGCCTCAGTCGCCAAGTTAGACGCCGCTCAATATGATCACTCAGGATTGTTCTAGGCAGATCTTTTGCTCCAAGAACAGAATTTTGGGGTAAAGGTATTCGTTCTCCTCTTTCAACTTCAATAACATAGCAATTGGGACACGTATACTCAGCTTGCCCCCCATCGTTCCTTCTACCATTAAATAATGCACAAATTTGGTGTTGCCAAGCTTCACATTTGTCACATTGAACCCACTGCAAGATGCAAAGTATCCTTATTTGTAACATCATACGCAATCGATAAAGGCAGATATGCATATTCTAAACGGAGTATAAAACAGTATTCTCCATCCTATTCATTATATAACTAACAAATTTCTTAAATACAAGGATAGATTGAGGCAAAAGTACCCATTCTTCAGTTTCCTCATCATTTTTCTTTTTTTCCATCTTTGACTTTGTAATATTAGTTCCATCGCATACAATGGTGTCTCCACGAGAATCGTTATAGCATGGAATGCAAAAAAAGTGCCGAGTGTCCCCAGCTCCAAACGTGTAATACATTGCATTTCTTTTAATACGCCCACCACAGGGAGAGCAATAAATAGGTGGGGGTTCAAATGTAAGTTTCTCCACTGCACACAGTTGGCAAGAATTTTCACTCATAGAGCTCTCCAATGCCTGATTTTTTTCAACTTTCGCTTTACTCTGCGAAGTAAAATAGAGAAGATTAATTCAAGAAAGTAATGAAATATGTAAACCAGAAAACAAAATTGTAACTGAGAAAACAAGTGCATGGCCGCGTGCTATCTCATATCACATACCAGACTGCTTTGTGCAGCATAGATGAGAATTAAGATATTAGAGAGTTATATTACGATAAATCACTAACTACAACCATCCTTCTCCACGGCTTCATACTTGATCAAAAATCTTAAGCACAAACAGTATGAGCCTAAAAACACACTTTTCTTGGATATATAATTAAAAAACACAGCGCAAATAGTAATTAACATAAAATTAATATATTAATAGAAACTTCATGTTACTTATTTCAGTCATATCACAACTAAATGAACGAATATAAAGTTGTAGCCACCAATTTCCTATTAAATTATACTCCACAGAGAATGGCTATGGGGCTCTGTGCCTCTGTCAGACATACTTTATATAAATCAAATATGCAATAAGAATATTAGTATAGGCTTGTAGTAAAATGTTAAGAACTACATTACTAGTTAGATACAAAAACAACAACAACATTACTCTAGTGTTGCAAAGGCTCCCACCTACAGTGGGTAAGGGGGAGTCAGATGTATGCAGCCTTACCCCTGTATTAAAGCGCGGAGAGACTGTTTCCAGATGACCCATGATGAAAATCGCATACATTACTAGTTAGAAGATGCCAAATATTCAAGGAAAATGCACACCAACAGAAAATGATTACAATGATAAGATGTCCAAGGATTACTTTCAGATATGGTGGATAAAATTATCTACATATTAAAATACATTTAATTGAACTCAAACAAAAAATATGTCTCCAGGTTAAATTTGTAGGTATTATAGTTTCTGTTAATAACTAAAATAAATTATAAAAACAACAATAAATATATACTTTGTGGATAAAAGCAACCTGGATCTGTCAGTTATAATTTATATAAACAAATCTTCAAGGATGTCTGCACCACCAACAAGGTTTTTTTTCATACTTTAAGCAATTATTCCCTTTCCTCCTACTTTTTTACCCACTCCCACCCAGCCACAAATGTTCGGTGGCACCACTAAGACATGTTTTGAGTGTTTTTTTTTCTACTAGTAAAATAGAAATAAATCAAGCTGTGCACAACAATATTCAGCAGCTCAAATTTGGATGCAAATATAGATACTTATGAAGTTTCTGAGTTTCACAATAGTAGCAGTTTTACACACTGACCTGGCCAACCCATTGTCTAAGACCAATAATATGATCCCTCACTTGCTCTGGGGTAAACAGTTCTGTCAATGAGACTCCTTTTATTTTTGGCTTTCCAGACTTGGATCCAGTACTGCTTTCCAGAGGAACCGGTGGGGTTTCCTGTATAGCTGAATCTGTATCCTTTTCAGCCTTGGCACTCTCCTGTACAGGAAGAGAAGATGAGGTACTTGATACGTGAGGATCAATAACTGGCCGTTGAATGTAAGTGTCCTCTGAATTATCCTTCAGCGCTGCACTTATTTGGCCAGCATTTGTAGGAATTTCCAATGGCAATTCCACGACCTCAGGTTTCACCACAATATTCTCAGCATGTTGTTCAGCAACCTGTGTTTCCAGGAAGATATGAGATCCACCAACAGAAACTGGTGAAATAAAGCCTTCAGGTTCAGATACAAAAGCTTGAGAGGATTGCTCAATCTTCATGCGCTTAATGGAAGGTTGTAAATCTTCTGGGGTTTCAACCACTGCAGGGCTTGACTTGACAGTAAACCTATGTGCAGCTTCACCGGTATGAAAGGCCTTACAAGATCCATTAACAGAAATTGCCATATCAGAACTCAAATCACGGCGAGGAAAAGGTTTTCTAAAAGCTTGCCTAAACTGTTTTACAGGAATGCAAACATCACAAGTTGCATTCTTGCAACGCCTAAAATGACTAAGTAAGAGTTTTGATCCAGCGCAACGAGGATATTGACATCCCAACGCATTGCACTGCTCCATATGCCTTAAGAGTTTCTGAGCATTTATGCAATTAGACTCTGCGCATTTCCCCTCTGGATCAGGGCATCGACGTGCATGAAACAGAAAAAGTAACCATCTAGTTTGATTTAAAAACCGCCCCTCAGAAGTATGGTTACTGAACTTGCGTGCAGAATTACTCGAAGTCTTTGGGTTGATTACACTATTCACAACAGATTGGGAAGCAATAGCTCCATCAAGAGACATATTGTTTCTTTGAGCTTCCTCTGATCTAGCAATTCTCTGTTGCAATTTTTGTTTACCACTCTGTTCTTGTGAGAAGCTACTAGGCATTTGAGACCCATCTTGAAACTTAGGGTACCATTGACCCTGCAACATTGCATCTGAATGAACTCCATTAGAAGAACATTTGAAACCATTTTGAGTTTCAGAAACATATATATGTTGATGCATCATCTGTTGCATGTGTTCTGAAGTTGGTGTCAATGAAGAAAATGGATCTTGTTGACTAGATGGAGGAGGTAGTAACTGATTACTTTTAGAATGTTCTCCTGTAGAATTATGTGGGTACAGATTTTGCACATCAGAAAACTGAAATTGTTCAGGGACCTGAGACAGTAGCGTTTCATCGTGAGTAGCAGGCTCTGAATTGATTTTACCACCCAAATCAGACAAGATCGGAACTTGACCAGTACTGTTGGTCTTTAGCAGCAGTTGCTGCTGACTTTGCTGCTTCTGTTGTTGATGATGTTGAGCAAATTGCTGCTGCTGCTGTAATTGTTGGGCCTGGTTGTGAAATTGCTGACGCAAATGAGATTGTAAATGATTATCAGGAAAAGAATGTTGGGACTGAAACTTCAACTGTTCAGAGTGATCAATGGATTGAAGCTTCATATTTGTCATATGTTGTGGGGCGTTCACATTTGACTGGTTGATCATGTGAGGGGAATTTGCTTTGGGGATGGATTGCAAGGCCACATCATTTATGTTTTGATTATTCATCACAGACCCAATAGAAGATACAGGAACAAATCCAGTCCCTGAGGTTTCAGAATTACTAATTGGATACATATCACCTGTTGGTCAGAAAAGACAGAAAAAGGTTTATGTTTAGGAAAGAAATTTTGGGCACATAAGTACATAACTATGTACTCATATAGTCAAAAAAAATCTCAGTATAAGTGGAAAATGAAGGAAGAGGGGGGACCTTGCATTACTGATCTCTGATGTTGATCAAACTGCGGGGATAACTGCTTAGACGGGTTAACATACATGGTTGATGTCATATATCCTTCAGAGGCTCCCTGACCATTTAATAGCTGCAAATTGTTTCCCATCATACCAAGTCCGCCATTCAAGGACCCGGTTGATGACACATAAGATCTAGTTTGCAACGCAGGCCTCAATCCACCACTCATATGGCTACCAAGTGCTTGCAATATACGACTGTTTTGGCTAACCACATGCTGCTTTTGCTGCACTGAATGTGATGTTATACTGGAACCGACATTAGCAGGCGCCCCAGCAATATTTGATGACTCCAAATTCGTGTAAGACTGGTTACTGATGTTGTTATTTAAATTATCACTGTTATTATTATTAAAACCAGGGGTGGGAATCATTTGGCTTGTCATTCTTTGTGCACCCATAGATGTTACCAAGTTATTTCCCCCAGAACTTATTGAAAAGCTTGACGGCATTTGTTGATAGCCACTCCCCATAGAACCTACAAGTATATGTTAAACTAAACTATATGAAATAGAAAATTTCAGAAATTCAAATATTCACATCAAATAAATTTCTACCATCAGCAAAGCTGTAAGAGCCACCATGTATTCCCCCAGAGGACCCATTAGATGTGCGAAGGAAGTTCCCAGAGTTAATGCACGAGGTTGATGTAATAGTACCTCCAGGATTCCCAGCAATACTTGAGCTGTCCACTGATGATGATCCAATTAGGGTAGAATTCCCACTCTGATGCATGCCTGGTGTTGGAATCATAGTGCCGATAGAAGATGATGAGTTAACATGTGAAAACCGTGCATTATGATTATTAGGTATTTGCTTGATTAGAAAATGCAAGCGGCTCTCTAAAGAGCCCAGATTCAGATATTCCTCCTATCAAGCAAACATGTTAAACAAAATCAGCAAAACATGATAATGAATAAGCAACACTAAAAGAGCAATATGTTTATGAAAAATTGCCTGATGAATCAAAACCCAAAAAAACCTTTGAAGTAGCACTCTTGTACAAAGCCTCCTCCAACCGTTTCACAATATCCACCATCTTCTTTGGAGCTATCTCATGTGCTTGTTGCTTCTGCATGAGATGCGCATAGCTGAATGAAAGCATGGTTAGATATTTGACAGATAACATAACGACATATTTTTTCATAAATTAGGGGAAAAGACTGGTTATCATCTCATAACTACATAACTATCAGCTTAACCAGGCTAAGAAGACATACAAATCCAAAAAAGGACGAGAAGATGTCACTAGCAGTATAGAACTGTTTTAAATAGAAAAAGCATCTGGCATAGTAATCAGCCATTGACCATGCTGTATAACATTTCAAGGGAGCGTTTATCATCCTAAATTGATGAAAATACACAGCTACCATTGTGAAACAGCATAACATAAGAGCTAACAATTGGGCAGTTAAAGGTAAAATCAATAGTCTACCGGTTAGCAATTGGTTTATGAAGAAACATTTTAGGATTAAAATTTTAGAAATCTTGATCATCATAAAGAAGAAATATAAGAAATAGTATATGATGGAGGCAAGCCAGAAGCATCAGCTTCACAAAAGTAGATGCAAATCACTAATCAAATTTTCGTTGACATTCATTTTTAATATACAGTTATGTAACTATTGATACAAAGAAAATATAGCCTTGATGACAAGTCATGTTGCAAACTAAACAAATAAGGTCGGTGGCTGCAAGAAATCTTGTAGAACAACTATTATTGATTAAACTTAACACAAAGATCAATGATAGCAGATACCGTGATTCATGTAAATTCCAGTCTATGATTTGATATATAGCAGACTTCGTCATAATACAAATAACATTTGGCAATACTGACAAGAGCATTACAACCAGTTTAACTGCAGAGAAACTGTATGGTGAAATAATACTTACATTTTGCAGGTACTTACAACTTGTTAAGGAATAAAGATTCTTAAGGAGTGTTTGCAATGGATTAAAATAAGTGCTTATCAGATTTTAGCTTAAAAAAGCAAAAATTAGTGTTTCCAAACAACTACTACTTTAAAAAAGCACTTTAAAGATAAAAGTTGGAAGCTGGAGTTGGGGTGCTTTTAAGCGCTTCTTGTTTTTTTTGTAATTAATTCAAACTTCAAGGAGGGTTATAATGGAACGTGTATTTAGCTTGGACCAAATATACCCTCATCCTGTCCGTACTTTGTGCGCCTCCATGTCTCCCTTTCAGGCTTTCACCTGGTCATTCCGTATATATATCATTTTTCATTTTCATTTACCTCAGTGCCGCAAAGGCTCCCACCTACGGTGGGGTAAGGGGGGTCGGATGTACGCAGTCTTACCCCAGTAATAAAGCAGGGAGAGACTGTTTCCGGATGACCCATAGTGAAAATCGCGTCCAAAATTGAATGGACTGACTGCTGCTTCATAACAAAGAAGCGCAGACAGTTTAATGAGCCATTTTGCTTTATTCCGTATATATATAATTATATATATATGTATATATATAATTATATATATGTATATATATAATTCTTCTATTAGATAACAAGAAGCCACAAGAATGGAAGGAATGCACGAGGATGACGCTGTCTGAGGCGGCCGTGAACAGGACCATCAACCGCCGCCACAGGATGAATTCCAGATCTTTTGGGGCAGACCGAGCTATACGGCTTCAAAATTGAACTCGTCATGCTCGCTGTGATATCTTTCAACAGAGGAAGAATTTGCAAGAAATTCAATCAACAGAGGAAGGAATTGCAGGAACCAAATTCAGTAGTGGAAGCAACTGTAGAAAGCTGGAGGAGAGATGGCGCCCCATATGGCTTTCTAATCTTTCACTTGCATTAAAGGAAGCAATTGCAATTGCAGGGCAGCAGGAGAGATGGCGCCCCATGCTCCCTACTTTGAAAGACATGAGTGGCGTTGAAGCTGGGCAACATAGAGATGCTCGAAAATGTTTTATATTCAACGGCATTTTTGTAGTTTAACAAAATATACCATTTAAAATCACTTTTTATCGAACACTCCAACTTTAACTTTTTCACCTTAATCACTACTATTTTATAAACACTCAACTTTTGTTTTTACGCACTTTCTCTAAAATCACTTTAAAAAAACGCTTTTTTAAAGTTGAAGCAATCGCAAACACTCCCTTAGTATATCATTATATTGAATTTTCATTTGTCTAGAATCAAGTAGCAGGAAAAGGAAATCCCTACTAAGAACAGATAAAAATTCATTGCATAACCTACAGAATAGAAGCCTGTTTTCATAGCTATGCAAAGAAATACTACCTTTGTTCTTAAATAATTGCAATATGCTGAATTTTACATTATTCACGTGATTTACTTGGACTTCATTCAATATATTAATGTGTTAGAATTTTAATTTTTGAAAAAAAAATGTTAAATTCATTTCACTTTGAAGTTCCAAAATCTGAATTTCTTAACTTTATTACTAATAGCGAATTAAATATATTAATGGTCAAGGTTGTGTGTTGGAAAACAATAAAATAGAAGTCTTGCAACTAAAAAAGAACGAAGTATGAAATAACATAAAAGGAACTAAAACCTTAGAGTCTGATCCACGTATTCTTATACATCTAAAAATAGATAGTGTTCCTACTCTTCTAAAACAAATAAAAGGGGTCAAAGGAGAATACTCGATAATACCGTCAAGTAAGATGTCAAATTTCCCTTACAGGCAATCAAATGCCATTAAGTACCCTCATGTGTATATTTGTGCGTACATACTATGTCTATTTTTTATACATCGGAAAGGAGTAAAGGTACACACTATGTCTAGATATGTATGTGTGTGCATATTATACTTCCTCCATTTTTTCTTAGTACCAATACTTTGAATCATTCACTTGCAATACATATTATGTCTAACCATAGTTTTCTACTAACATATACTTCCTCTGTTCCACTAAGATTAACTCATATTTCCTTTTTCGGTCCATCTCACTAAGATTGTCTCCTACCAAATTTGATAAAGTTTGTGTGGTTCTTAATCGTTCTTACTTTATTTTTACTTTATCAATTTAATATCAATCACATAAATTCACTTTTCTAAATAACCGCACCACTTCATCATGTTCCCATGTTAATGGGATGGAGGTAGTGTAAAGAAATCATTTTATATAAAGATTGTTAGATTTCTCCCCGTGCAAATCTTAAAAGTATATTAATGGCCAAACTCGTGTAATGTTAAACGTGAAAGTCAAACTGTTGGAAGTTGGAACTACAAAATGATGTAGGGTTGGTTTGCAAATGCTTTAAAAAAAGCACTTCTCAGCTTTTTGGCTTAAAAAAACACTTATTTTACCAAACACTACTAACTTTTATTTTTCTCGGCTTTCGTGTCAAAAGTGATTTTACTTTTTCTATTACACAAAAAGCACTTATTTTACCAACACTACCAACTTTTACTTTTCAAAATCACTTTTTTTCACAAACACTATCAACTTTTATTTAATCACTTCTCCCCATTTCATTAAAAAAAGAACTTTTTTAAAGCAGAAGCTGTTGCAAACAGACTCGTAGTACATACACATATACATAAAATATTAATTCAAAAAAATACATATGTATTGTGCAGATAAAGATTTACTTCTTGCAAGGGATGCAAAAGAAATAACAGCATAAGAGTTAAACTGCTTAGAAACACACACACACACACACATATATATATATACACACATATATTCCTGTCCGGCCCAGCCGAACAGGAGGGTGGTCCGGCCACATCCATTTGAGGTGGTTCTCGGTGGAATTTTTTGTGTATGTTATTCATGAAGTCTAGTTCATCCATACCAAATTTGAGCAAAAAAAATCAACAGGGAAGGCAGTCAAATGATTTTTGAAAGATAATTGTGTTTTATATGTATATTCCGGTGCATATATCTTTCAAAAATCATTTAACGGCCTTCCTGATTGAATTTTTTGCTCAAATTTGGTATGGATGAACTAGACTTGATGAAGAACATACACAAAAAAAATTAGCAAAAAATACCACCGGAAACCACCTCAAATGGAGGTGGCCGGACCACCCTCCTGTCCGGCCAGGAATACTACTCTCTCTCTCTCTCTATATATATATATATATATATATATATATATATATAACAGCATGATTTCTTACATTTTTTCTGAAATGAACCTCCGAGCTTTGTAAATATCTGGATCTATATTGGCCATATTACGATGAAGAGATGTGTTTTGCATTTGATTGGATAATGGATTTCCATTCTGTTGGGACAGACCTTGTAAGGAAGCACCACCCTGATTGGGCACCTGCCCTGAGATTTGCCCTGATATATGTGCTTGTAAATTCATCCTATTTCTTGTTTCCCTATAAGATGAAATATCACATGTCCATCATACAACACAGAACTAGAAACAATTTTGTGCAGATACTCGATATCATCACAGTTAGTCACCTGTAGCATGGAAAAAATTACTAGCTTTACTATATAAATCTATTGAAAAGTGAAACTAAAGGGAGTAATGCAACATAAAATATCATTAACGCAGAACTATAGCATGAAAATAACCATTTCATGACACAATGGTGTGCCATTGTAAAAAGAAAAACAACAAAGCTACAATTGACACGGAAAGACTTGAAAACCAATAAAAAGCTAAAAAGGGTATTGAAATTAAAGCATATCTCGAGGAAAAAAAGTCATGAAAGTTTGAGGCTACTGAATTTGCTATTGAACTAATAATATATCAACCCACTCATTTGAATTACTAAGTAGAACAGAAAATATAAACTAATTAGTTGCTTTATTTTTAAGCTTCATGTGGCACCCATAGAAACATGTTCACTCAACAATAACTAGATCTCACGATCTGTAGTTGGCCTACACAAACCTGTATAGAAACTATGAAGCTCGGCAGCCTCTAGGGCTGAAATCGCCTAATTATAAAGCCTAGAAAAGATACAGATATAAAGCTTTAATCTTGAGTGAAGGGTTTCGAGTTGAAGCTCAGCACTTAAGAGTTATCCAAATACTAATATTTAAAATTTAAAAAGAATTCAACAATAAAACATATACTCCATCCATCCCAATTACACCTTTAGCATAATAAAGGGTTAGAATAGCCCGAGAATAGCTACTGTTACTGCAGCAGCCTCAGGCAGGGCCGGCTTTGGGGCAGGCTGCCTAGACAAGTGTCTAGAGCCCCCAAATTTTAAAATGAGCCTATTACTATTACATATGTATTTTTAATTTAATTCAAAAGTTAAATTTTTAATTAAATACTACGTATCAAATTATCAATCCCCAAATCTAAAAACACATACCTAGGGACGGGTACGACACTACCACGGACTATAGATCAGCTAAGAGGCGGCTGAGTGTCTGACCACCGACGAAGCAGCGATCCGCGTGCGCCGAGCAAGCTTCAATTTCAGGTCTTCAGGCGGACTGCGGACAGAGAAACATACTTTCGTCTTCTAATCTTCAGCCCCTTCGCAGCTTGCAAATCGTAATTCCCCTTCGGCAAATTATTTGCAGCAATTTGCAGGCCGTAGACAAACTTTCATGACTCTCAACTGATGATCATTCCAGCCATAAATTATCCTTATTGAAAAGCTATGGCAACGAGTCAATCGTCTCAAATCGATTGGGTGAGATGATTATAGACAGTAGGTGGCTATTCCGGGGACTGAATGTGTTCCGGAACTAACGGTAACGGGCGGTGATTGTAGACGCTGACAACAAATTGACAGGAATCGAAGATCGAGACGGTCGGAGAAAGGGGGTGGACTCCGGCTCGGCGGGGCGTACTTGGACCAAATTGGGAAAGTAGATTCCTGGACAAAAAGATAGGGTCAAAACAAGAATAATAATTTCATAAATCTAGCATTGACCCAGAGGCTTGTGATGTTGAAACCTGGTGCTTACTTCGCTCATAAAGTCACAGTTGATTAGTAAGCATACCATCATCATGTATTAATTAAACGACATTTTAAACATTTTCATTTTCCGAATTTACCATTTGTCCTTACCCTATTGTTACCCCTCTACCCCCGCTACCCCACCCCGCCAAACCCTACTACCCCGACCCCACCCTACCCACTACCTCCATCCTCGTACCTTACCCCTACCCGACCCGACCCTACCTACCCTACACCCTACCCTACCCCGACCCTAACCCCTACCCCTACCACATGCCCCTACCTCGGCCCACCCCGATCCCGGCCCCACCCTACCCGCCTTACCCTATACCCCGACCCCACCCCTACGGCCCTACCTGACCCCTACCTCGGCCTCACCTTGATCCCGACCCCACCCTATTGTCATCTACCCCTACCCCTACCTACCCTACCTTAACCCTACCTACCTCACCCCTACCCCACCCCCTACCACATGCTCCTACCTCGGCCCCACCCCGACCCCACCCTACCTTACCTTACCCCCACCCTGATCCTGTTCATCTACCCCTCTACCCCTACCCTACCTTACCCTAACCCCACCCTACCCACCCATCTCCCCCATACCCTACCATATGCTCCTACCTCGGCCCCGACCCCCACCCTACCGCCATCACCCCCCGTACGCTACCTTACCCCGACCCGTCCCTACCCTACCTTATCATACACATACCTCAGCCCTATCCCTACCCTACCATACCCTGACCCCACCCTATCCACCATCCCCGCCCTTACCCCTAACCACGACCCTACCCCACTCCCTACTTGCCCCTACCTTGGCCCCACCCTGATCCCAACCCCACCCACCCCTACCCCCTACCATACTCCCACCACATGCCCTACCTCGGTCTCACCCCAATCCCGAACCCACCCTACCACCATCCTACCCCCACCACCCCCTGTCGCGGTAAGGGTAGTGTAGGGGTCAAGGGTGTGGAATTGGTGGTAGGGTGTAGGGTAGGTGGGGTAGGGGTACACGTACGAGGTGACCCCACATATTATATTATATACTTATGTTCATGAATGTTTGTGTTTCTATGTATGTACAGGGTTATTTTGGACATCTTAATGTTAAACGGTGTTTTAAACCCTTTGAAGTAAACACGATCTTACAATATTGCTTATTTTATGCGCCGCTTATTAACGCAGGTCTTAATAAGCACCGTGAAGTACGAGTACTCAAGACTCGAGTTTACTTATAATAAAGTCCCAATATTGTTGGAGTAATAATAAAGTCACCGCTTATAGGACTTTGATAATATTAATTTATTTCTAATTTATTATAAAATGTGATTTTAGTGCATATGTTCAAACGAACTATTATTGTACTCTCCTTTCCTCCTTGACATTTACAATAAAAACACATTTGCTTATTTAACTACTAATTTTATCGAATGATTTGTTATTCTTAATTGTATAGTATTGTAACGTATGTTCAAACGAACTATTACAAATGCTAAACACATTTTAAAAGTAAACAATTAATTTCATAAATCATCGTATACTTTTTAACTTTTTCAAAATTTAAATTCGTTTAAACTATAAGTTAACAAGTCATTAAATCATTTTTCCTAAATTGTTCATCTATATTTGAGGAATGCATTGTAATTTCACTGGAAATATTTCACTGAAAATAAGTTCAAGTACTTTTTATTCCGTCAAAGACAGTTGAAGTACTTTATGAGCCCCGATGCAATTTCATGTACTCTTTACTCTACCGGAGACAACTTAAAGTACTGAATTGACACTAGATATATCCATGTGTGATGTTTCCAAACTGTGGGCAGCAATGTCTTAAACCACCCCAAGACAATAAACACACAAACAGCCAAACATGTACTCTGAAGAACCAGCCACTAGATATGCATTTAGGCCAAATATATTACTGTATATTATAAGACTTCTCAAGCTAGTGTTAAGTAACTAAGAGCATGGTACTTCACTTCACAAATGAAGGGGAAAGGGGAAGGAGAAAGGAGAGGCTAAGTGGCAAAAGAGAGAACCGAAGACAATTGAGATGCGACAAGCTCTTCTTCCTCATCAGAGTCAAGCGTGAAGTCAAACTCTCATTCCACCTTTGTCACCGGCCCCATATCCTTGAGATGAACCAAGCTCTCACTGTAGTTAAACACCTTGTAACAGAGCGGCTTAGCATCTTCAATGTACACCTCCTTCGTCTTCTTGGTTTTAGCATCAAACAAGAAAAGCTTCCCCTCCCCGGTTTCCACAAATATCTCCTCACTATTAGAGCACTAAATCTGGTTAGCAACCGGAATCCCGATAGGTCCAACTTCTTCGCCCACTTCGCCTGCTTCACATCCAGCACCACCACGTCCACCATGTCGTCCTTCCTGTTCGGGGTGTGGGTGAGAATGGCGAGAGAGCCTCTCCATTCCACAAGAAGAGTGGTGGAATGGATATCCACATCCAGCACGGGCACCCGAATCTTATCGAATGTCTCTTTCTTCATGTCATATCGCACAAACACCTTCCCGAACCCGCTCGGATTGCTCAAATCCTTCGCAAAGGCTCTCCAGTACGGTGCCCCGCCGATGATCGCGTCATTTCTAGTGTTGGTCACGTGGAGTGTGAAGCCCAGCTTCACCCGGGCCCAGGAATCGCGATCGGCAGAGTACGCGTCAGCCCTAAGCTGCAAGCAAGCATCCGGGGTGAGACCTTTGGGGCGGAGGTTTACGATTCTCACCACTTTGAAATCGGAGGTGGTGGAATCAGACCCTAGCCCAACAGACACCAAAATAGGGCTTCCGTCGTCATCCTTCGAGAGGTGGATGGCTTTCCACTGTCGAGTTGCAGGGTTCCAGAGGACAATCATCTGGCCCAGGGGCGGACATGCCATGTAAACGATCCCGTTCCAGGATCCCACCAGATCCATCTGATAGAAGAATTCCGGGAACGGGTGGGTGACCTTCACAGCTTCTCTGGTAGCGGCATTGACGCCAAAGAAGGAGATGATGTGGTCCTCGTCCTCGGTGATGCAGTGGATGACGAGGGAGGGGTTTGAGGCGGCGGCGGCGCTGAGGTGTTAGGAGACGAAGCGGTGGGTGGCGAAGAGGGCAAGCCAGGGCTTGCGCACGCACTTTACGCGGTAGATGGACTTGGCGGGAAGGCGAGAGAGGATGCACAACATCACATCTTCGGCCATGGCGGGGACTGATCTCAGTTCAGTATTGGATGCAGCCTTACTGCTGCCTTTCCTGTTTGCCTTATTTTTGAATGATGTTTTGGGAGCCATATTTCTGGCTTGCTTTCTCTATGCTACAGATCCAGTACATACTGTAGTGCGCTGGTGCATACATATATATAAACATGACACTACTGGCGGCCATATCCTTAATGAATTCAAATTTCAATTCAACATGCATGAACAATGGAATGAAATGCGGGTACCCTAGCTTCGAAGGTGGGAAATTTGCATAGAGCCCTTCACTAAGACTGAAATTAGTTGATTCTTGTGGAAGAGATTAGATGAGTTTATTCTATTTATTTATGAAAAAATTATATTTAAAAATGTTTTTTATTAATAATATAGAAAACATTATATGAAAAATAACTAAAATGATTATCTACAGTAATTTTATGTACCACAATTAGTTGATTATATTTATCTACCGCAAAATAGTAACTTCTTTGTTGAAGTTACTATTTTGCGCGAGCGATCGAGAAATTATGCGGAATTAAGATCACAATGCTCTGATACCAATGATACAGTCCAGGAATTCTAAGTGGAAGGAATGAAGAAGAGAAAAATTGAGAAGCTGTAATCGTAACATCATTGAGACAAAAGAGAGAGAGAGAGAGGAATATGGCTAAGAAAGCAATTATCACCAAAAGGTTGGTTTATTCATACGCAGCACAGCCTATATAGGCTTTACAATCAGTTTGACCACTAACGGTTTATTAACTAACCGTTAACAGAATTACAACTATATCAATAAATTATACGAAGTAGGGGAATTGTTTAATTTGATAGGGTAATAATATCTGAAAATTTATTCATATGTATCTTAACCACTAGACCAAATTTTGGGGCGTTACATTTTTACCCCGGGTCGACAATGCCGTCAATAACACTATAAAATAGTTTTGAAAACTAAAATTAAAGGATGAAACACATACATATAAACTACGTATTACTTATGTACAAAGCTACCTGACCTATACACTACGTTTGGGATTGGATGAGGTGATGAGTGGGAAGTTTTGTGACATTAGTTTTCATCGTTTCTATTTTCTTACTCCTGAAGAAACTCCATATATGTATAGAGGGCGATATCGCACTGATCTTCTCAATACACTTTGTACTCAATCAGTAACATACAGAGAGCAAGAAAAATGACACCCAAGAAAAACACCACAAACAGGTAAAGCAATAGTAAGGCGTCCACTAGCGGACAGAGATCACTCCCCGCCATGGCCGATTGCAAGCTCCCTGGAGATGTGATGCTCTGCATCCTCACCCGCCATCCTGCCAAGTCCATTTGCCAATTCAGGTGCGTGTGCAAGCCCTGGTTTGCCCTCTTCTCCACCCCCACTTCATCTCCCTACACCACAGCGCCGCCGCCGACGCAAACCCCTCCCTCGTCATCTCATTCATCGAGTACAGAGTGTATTGAGAAGATTACTGCGATATCTCCCTCTATACATATATGGAGTTTCTTCAAGAGTAAGAAAATAGAAACGACGAAAACTAATGTCACCAAACTTCCCACTCATCGCCTCATCCAATCCTGAACGTAGTGTATAGGTCAGGTAGCTTTGTACATAAGTAATACGTAGTTTATATGTATGTGTTTCATCCTTTAATTTTAGTTTTCAAAACTATTTTATAGTGTTATTGACGGCTTTGTCAACCCGGGGTAAAAATGCAACGC